GGGGGGGGGGGGGGGGGGGGGGTGTACTCCCTGTAAAGGCCTATACGGGGAGGCTCGGCCCGAAAGGGTACCTTTTCAGGCTTCAGGTATATAAAAGGGTAAGGTTTTAACAAGCTGAAGTATATGAAAGGCTAAGGAAATCTGTCATACTTTAATTAGGATATTTCGTACATACAGACACACCTTATGGCTGTATGACTACATGTTACTGTTAAGCACTACATGAAAATGGCAAAAGGGTTTTTTTTTGTTTTTTTTTTTGGCTATTTATTTATAATACGGGCTGGTTATGAAAGTATGTGAAGGGACAACTTTTTTCAGTTAAAGGTATACGAGAGGAGTACCTTTTCTCTCAAAATGGTATACAAAAAGGTAAGGGATTGACCCTCGGGTCGAAGCCTCCCGCTATAAAAGTTTGTAGAATACACTCCCTTTCCGGGGACGAATAATAACGATACGAATGGTTTTCATGTTTTGCTTGGTATAAAATGAGTGATTGCATGGCATATGATAAAATCAAAGGCAAAAAAAAAAAAGAAAAATCTTAGTGGTACCCCATACGTCTTTTGTAAAATTTGGACATTTGAAGCCTATGTGAAACAAAATTACATTTTTTTTTTCAATTCGAACTCAAATTTTTTGGGATACCATCGTTAATTAAAGTTACCATGCCCTTTCAGTATTTAGAGCTGATATTTTTGACGTTCGATCAGAAGCGCTCTTGCTAGCAAAGTAAATATGGTAAATAAAGAGCGTTTTTCTATCACTAAGCATTGCAGAACTTTGGAAATGTGGATGAGTGGTACGGAAATTTCCCGCAGACGTTTTTGGAAAATTTGAAATTTGTTACATTTCCGAAATACAAAGAATTCAATCGAAAACTCGACAATTACACGAGGAAAATTTGATTGTGCCTCGTGAGGTTGTCCGGTTAACTGGGAAATTCCGAAAATGCTGTCCAATTCGCCATTCGAATTTTCCGGACTTTCAGACTGGAATTTTTGGTCGACTAGAAAGTGCCTAAAGATTATCCAAAAGTATGTCAGCTACCATCTCTAGGCAGTTACCTAAAACAAAAACTTTAAATTTGCATTCGGCAATGTTCCCCGTTTTGTCTGAGGCCAAGTACCGGATGTTATGTTCTCCAGCGGGGAATGTGTCCCCAGGCTGTTTCCCATAGTGTGTTATGTTGGAAATGAAACCAGAGTTGTCTGCAGCTGTAGGATGAGACCACGTGACCTGTGTCGACGTTGTACCTCTGTCAGCGTTGGCTACAATATCTGATGGACAGTTTGAGAATACTGGTGCTGAGACATCTATAAACGAAAAGAATATTGGGTTTTACCAACAAAAATAAGAAAGTACACAAACTTGTCATACATGCGCATTGACAACTGGCCTTTAAGCACTTTTCATCATAATTGTGATAACAATAAGAGTGGCAAAGCCCTAATCATTATAACAAAGAACAGGAACAAAAAATAAGGATGTTAAATGAGGAATTACTTTACTTACTTACCTTTACAACAACATCTACAGTTGTTGTTGTCGTTGTTGTCGTTGTTGTTGTTTTCTTTTCGTTGAAACCAAAAAATCTTATTTTCATTTTTTTTTTTAATTCCCTGGAAAAGAACTTTCAAGGTCATTTCTTCAATGTTCACTCTTTAATTCAAACGTCATTTGCTTTAAACCCTGCTTGTCAAATTATATTTCTTCAATCTTCAATATAAGGCACATATGAAGCGTGAAAAGCATTTTTTTTTATTTGTCCGTGTAATAGTTGTTACCATGTCCTAAAAGAACTTTCGAAGTTGCTAACTCACCTTTGCACCACGGATTTCCCAATGGAGACCAGGTCTTCTGCTGGTTACAAGTCTTCAGACCAGGCCCATGGTGTTGATATCCGCTCTTACACGTGAATCGGCAATCCGTTGCATAATGAATGACAGCACTTCCATTGGTACAGAATGAGGGGGTGATGTCTAGTCCTTCCGATGAAATGGTAATTGGAGGACAGGTGATTGCTGACAGTCAAGAAAAGAGTACTTATATGTCAGTTATAATGAAGCCTAAACAAAGAAAAAATCACAGAAGGAAGGAAAGCCGACATGGTAAGCAAAACAAAACCGCCCTCACCCCCGCCTTAGCTCAAGGTCTGGATCTGCCACCGGGCCGTTAAACTTAAGATTGATAAACGGTCCATTTGGTACAATCGAACCTCTCCATACGGACACCTCTCTGATACGGACCGTTTCCTATTTACCGACAAAATTCTGGTACATTTCCTCTAAAAACAACTTCTATAATTCGGACCCTCTCTAAAACGGACAACGGACACTAAATCTTGGTCCTACGAAACAAATTCATACAGGTGGAGGACTAGGTGTCAATAATTTGCGGTGTGTACCATTTCCTGTCGGCGGTTACACAAACATTGACACTTTCTCATTCAGCGATACCAGAACCAGAACATGTCACTTTTGGGCCTGATTTTAGTTACTTGACACTCTAAACTGTCAGTGGAGACTTAAAAGTGAAGTCATCATAGTGGCCTTTTAAAACGGACACCTCTCTACTACAGAAACTTCGCTCTGTCCCTACGGTGTCCGTATTAGAGAGGTTGAACTGTATTTGGTAAAGACTTATGTGTAAATAGTTAACAGAAAGCAATCGCATTTCTTACAAACAGAAATCATTCCACCTACCTTGGCACTGAAGTTCGGTCCCACTCCACTGTCCAGTTTCCAAACAAGTTCTTTTCTGTGATCCCCCTACAACCTCGTATCCCAACATGCAACTGAAAAAGCAGGATGTGCTGTAGCTAGAGCTTGGTCCACTGCAGCCGTACCCGGACTGAATGGCGTGGTCGGAAGTATTCAGAGGTGGACATTGAACAGCTGAGACAAAAATATCATATAATTGAAAGAAGCACCAAAACCACCAAAACAAAAAAAACAAAACAAAACAAGATTAAGACAGCTTATAAAAAAAAAGGTTTTGTGAAGGCGTGGTGGTGTGAAGTTTAGTGAATCTACCCTGGAATATCAATTGATACCGATTAATTGTTGTAGCTACCTCACAGAAGCTTGAGAGTGGGTTCGAGGGGGGAGGGGGGCTGGTGAGGATACGCTTTATGCTACAGAAACAGCAGATAAACGTCGAGAGCTGCGAAAAATCTGAAAGTTGGGCTTAACAGCTTTTCATTTGTGTTTTAAGTAAAAAAGGCTGACCATACGATGCATCCTAACAGAACGGTCCACATTATTTACTATACTCGTTTGAATTCTTTACAATTTGCTGAGTTTTCGTTAACCTGTAGATATTTTTGTTGCACAGGTCATCGCATCAACGAAAGTTCAAATAAGGATTTACAGATGAAAATGTTGAGATTCAAACTGGAACTTTCACGGGCCACTATGACGGAATCGACAAGATATGCCCATAGTAACTTACCCTCACAAAAAGTTGTATTTCCTGTCCATTGTACCACATTTGTACCTGCTATCCTGTCGCACTTTCTCTCAATAGATCCCCTCAATTCATACCCCTTGTAACACGCTAAGCGGCAGACACGTCCATAGACATTTCCACAGGCCGCATTCTCCAGTCTGCCGTTTGCTGGTGCAAACAGCACAGGACATCGAAGAACTAGAAAGGAAATGTTGCCAGGTGAACTAACCGTCCTGGTTTGAACGTTAACAATACGTTAATTAATGAAAACGACTGATACCTTGTAAACTCTGTTGGTAGTGCTGGTTAGGCTCCCCCACCCCCATCCCTCCTTCCGCTCCCCCAAAAAACACAAACAAACAAAACAAAAAACAAAACTAAACGAAAAAAAAAAACAAACAAACAACAACAACAAAAAAATAAAAAAATAAAAAGAAACGAAAAAGAAAGCAACAAACGTTTTGTTGTTGCTGTTTTTATCATTATACTTTGTTTTTAATTTTAATGCACTTGTTATATAGAGGCAGAACCCGTTGTGATGTCATCTTTAGACCAGAATGGCTCACCCACGCGTTTTAATAGACAGGGTTATCCAATCTTTTCCTATTCTGTTTTCAGTTAATTCTACTTTAAAGATATTTTCAACTATAAATTTTAAAAAACGGAACATCTTTTCTTTTTTTTTTTTTTGGAATACGTTGGGAACAACGAGAGCTTAAGCTCTCCGACGCAGCTAATCTGACTTTGTTGATTGATTGCATTTTTCTTTCACGTAACGACATATTTAGC